AAGCACATATAGCATTGACAAATAAATAATATGATTTAAATAATCATTGTAATCATCCATCTTTGAATAACCGTTATACTTAACAGAAAACCGAGCGAATATTGCAACTGGTAAAAACCGCAATGTGTGCCAAATAGTCGCGGCAGCCGACTCGGCTGCCGATTCGGCGAAAACCGCCGTGTCTGTCATCGCCCTTAGTTATTACAAAAACCGTAGTATTTCAAAGATCGTCACTTATCAGATCGTTTTTAACTTCAAATCAACTGGATTTCATATTAAAAAAAGAAGTGTGTAAACTGGACTCAAGAGGAAATGTCTACCGCATTTACTCTCTGCTATTACAGCCGAAAAACATACACATATTTAAGAATAGAATTAAATTATCCTCTTCCTTCATTTTCTTGTCTAAGAAAATATGCCGCTAAAATAAGAAGGTTTTACTGAAGCATGTGTTACGTTTCATGAGATTAGCAGGAGAAGATTTAAGCAGTTTTGAAACGGTCACTATACTTTTATTTGATAAAATAAAAGTTAAAACAGTAAGGTAATGATATCTATGAATAAAACAAGTAACTAACATATTCTTCCCTACTTTATCGGCTGGTGGTGTTCTGTTTCGTTATTGTTGTGAAAAGACACGTGCAAAATTTTATTGTTAAGTTCGGTTATAAGACGAGTTAACAGTGTTTTAGTAATTGTCCAGCTACTTCAAAATTAACGAAGATTTTGTGGTGATTTCTGGTAAGTATGTATATACCTTTCTAAGTTATATTCATTATTCTTAGGGTACTTTTCTTCTTGTTTGCATAAACATCCATTTATGAAGTTATGGCGCACTTGCCCCGGCCATTGAAGCGGCCGGGGCAAGTGCATTTATTTCAATGGGGCAAGTGCAATCCTTAGAGCGCACTTGCCCCGTATTAGAGTTTAAAATTAAAATCGTGTTTCCTGCCTTTTCAGATAAATAATGGTTCGCAAATATGTGCGTAAAAGTACTAGAGGATCAGGATATTCTCAAGAAACACTCACAATAGCAGTTGACCTTATTAAAAGTGGTTCGTTGAGCACTTATAGAGCTAGCAAGATATACAAAATACCTAAAAATACTCTTGCGGATCATGTCAAAGGACGAAGAGGTAAATTAAGTTCAAGCTATGGTAGGAGAACAGACTTTACTCTTGAAGAAGAGACATCACTGGCTGATTGTATTTGTTGTTTGGAAAAATGGGGTTTCGGCCTTACTAGAAAAGAAATAATAAAAATCGTTGCCGATTACGTCAGGGTAAACAATATTAAAACTCAATTTAAAAATGGAATCCCTGGCGAAGATTGGTTTTTAAACTTTAAGCGTAGGCATAATCTTTCCCTAAAAACTCCCCAAAGTGTCGAATTCGCCAGAAAGAAAAATGTCGATCCGTTTTTAATATATGACTATTTTGATTTGCTTGGAAAGACAGTAAAGGAACTCGGATCGGAGGATAAGCCATCTCAAATTTGGAATTTAGATGAAAGTAGTTTCTGTTGTGATCCTTCCAAAACAAAAATTGTTGGTCAAAAAGGATATCCATCAACTCGTACAACAAGTGGCCCTGGAAAACAGAATACTACTGTTTTAATGTGCTGTAGTGCAATTGGTGACAAGGCACCGCCTCTTATAATTTTTAAGGGCAAACATGTATGGGATCAATGGGTAGCACCAATTGACACTGAATTCCCTATTACCACATATGCGCAAACCTCTAACGGATGGATGGAGAGTGCAGTTTTCAAGAACAATTTTCAAAAAAGTTTCATTAAACATTTATCTGACGATCGACCAGTTTTAGTAATTTACGACGGCCATGCTACTCATTTAAGTGTGGATGTCTTTAAAACTGCTATAGAAAATCAAATAACAATTTTAAAGCTTCCACCGCACACCAGTCATTTGCTCCAACCTCTGGACTTAAGCGTCTTTAAGTCTCTTAAAACTCGTTGGGATGCTAAATTGGTCGAATGGCAGCGAAAAAATGTAGGAGTGAAGATTCCAAAGTGTATATTCTCAAAGTTAATTGGCGAGATATGGACCGACACAAAGCCAGAAATAATAATAAATGGTTTTGTTAAAGCTGGAATTTCTCCAATTAACCGAAATGTCGTACCTGTAGAATTATTCGATCCAACTGCTTTTCAAAGATGGAAATCTCGTCAAGCACAAAAAATTGTTGACGTAAGTTTACCCTCAACATCTAGTGTGTCCGATATTGATCATCAAGCGATACCTTCAACATCCAATGCGCAACATACCGATCAGATGTTAATGTCAACGTCCAGAATGCATAATGAATATCAAAGTCAGCCGAAACCCTCTACAGATGAAAACTCTGAAATTCAAAACCAATCTCAAGAAAGTACAATAATCGCGCCAGTTATTGCTCAACAGCAAGATCGCAATAACTCGCATAAAATCGGAGTTGGTTTTCAAGAGCTCTTACTAACATTCATAAAACGAGACCATGTTCTTACAAAGCAACCAAGAAGGCGAATTTGTTTAGGAGCACAGGTTATAACACAGAAAGATGTTACAAATTTTCAAAATAAAACACAAGAAAAGAAAGTTTCCAAGCAGAAAAAAAGTTTAAAAAAAAAGGCAAAAATTGTAAGTTTTGTGACAAATATTACATTAAACTTATTGCTACCGAAGATGATGAAACTCGAAACAAAATTGCTACAGAAACTGAACTTCATCACAGAAAGGCCGAGAAGCTTATGAAACCTTGCATAGGGATGCAGAGACTGCAAAACATAATCAAGATTTTGTAGTTTTGTGTGTTGATTTACAGCAGGTGTTGTTCACACTTAATTTAACCGCTCAATGACGTGATAGGACGCGCATATCGTCTTTATACCTGCAGAACGTTTTAGCGACGTGGTAGTTACTACCATATATATATATGTTACATATAATAAAAATTAAAAAAATATCTTATAACTAATACATAAAAGAATCTACTAAAAAGGCAGGACGTCCAAAGACACCTGGGTCACGGACTGACGGAAAGACATTTTCCTGACTTCAACCCCCCTACAAAAAGTAATAATATTCCATATAAACGATGTGTGTTATGTTCCACAAATTAAAAAACAAATTAAATCTGTTCTAATTGGACTAAAAATGCTTTACATCAGCGGTTCTTAAACTGGGGTCCGCGAGTTAATAGTCGGGCGTCCGTGACTTCATTAATAATCATCAAAATAGTAATTTTTAAATATTACTGAATCTTTAAATTTTAAATGAAAAAATTGAGTAACGATATTATCCCTGACGCGACACACCACCGACAAAAACCGTTGGCAAACTATTTCTCACCGTAGCGTAGTGACCGCTTCGCATACGACCGACGGCGCCGTAAACTTACGATATGACGTTCAGCGCTGCTTTGAGGGTGCCGCTCTCGAGTAAACCGAGGCTTAAGCGAACGTAAGCGTAATTGATAAATAATTTGCAGTGTTATTTAAATAACAAACAGGTATGTGAATGTACAAGATGAATACAGGGCCGGCTCATGCTACTGTGCAACCCATGTAATGCACACGGCCGCACGACCGAGGGGGTTGCAGGCAAAGAAAACGTAACGTCCCGACAGTCGACGCACGAGGGACGCCGACGTCGACGATGATCGACGCCGACGCGACGGCGACGATTGACGGTGCCGATTATTACAATACGCCTACACGTTACCCTATTCAACTTCTAGTTGTTGTGTTGTGTGGTTTATTAAAGCAATAGGTGCACAGTATTAAATGATAATTATTATTTAATTAAATACAAAATACAACCGTAAGTATTTTGAAGATTACAATACTACCAAATTGGAAAACATAATAATTATATTCTACTGACAATGAGATATTTTTAATAAAATTTATTATTAATTCCAGATGTCGTCCTTACAAAGAAAAAGACCATCGGGCAGCCAGCAGAGGAAAATAAAAAAACGAAAAGATGATGAAATTAAGCGAATTACTACACCCCTTGCAAGGTTTTTTGAAAATGTTCCATCGCCATCGACGTCAACTGCAACGTTCACGGAAGAACAAAAAAATAAAGGAGAAGATAAAGGAGAAAACACAGACATTAAAAACAGTGACGAGGATCTCGAGAAAGAGATAACGAACGTAGTCAAGATTTAAATAATACACTAATTAATTTAAGAGATCCCGGATTATGGCCGGATGTTCTAGAAGACAAAAAAAGAGTTTTCTTAATCCAAAATAAACCCGAACAAATAAGAGGTATAGCATTTCCTAAAAACAATGCTAAGAGAAGCTTTTCTGAAAGGTATTACAATAAAATCCTTCTAAATAACGAATTGGCTTCTAGAAATTGGTTATTATACTCATCTTCAAAAGATGCAGTGTTTTGTTATAATTGTAAGCTATTTTCATATCCACGAGAAGACAGTGCTCTAGTCAAAGGCGGTTATAATGACTGGGGTCATTTGTCAGAAGCTGTGAGGGTTCATGAAAACTCACTAAATCATATAAAATGTTCCCAACAATTAATATTATTAAAGAATACCCTGAAAATGAAAACTGGTGTAGGTGCACATCATCAATCATTAATAGATATCGAAAAACAAAGATGGGAAGGAATTCTGAAAAGAATTATTTTATGTATTCAGTATTTGGGTAAACAGAATTTAGCGCTCAGGGGTACAAATTCAAAACTTTTTGACAACAATAATGGAAACTTCTTACAACTTATAGAAATGATTTCGCAATTTGATCCTTTATTGTCAGATCACGTACGTCGTGTTCAAGCTAAAGACAACATAATGCCACACTATCTCGGAAAAATGATACAAAATGAAGTTTTGAGCTTACTGGGAAGTAATATAAAAAAGAAAATTTTATTAATGTTAAAAGAAGCACGGTATTTTTCTACCATTCTTGATACTACACCTGATTCCAGCCACCAAGAACAGATGTCAATTGTAATAAGATTCGTTGTACTTCAAAGCGATGGGGGTTACGATGTACAAGAACATTTCTTAGGTTTTTGTGTAACGACAGACACAACCGAAGCTGGATTGTCTTCGTACGTTTTGAACTTCTTAAAGGAAAACAACATAAATTATAAACATATGCGTGGTCAAGGGTACGATAACGGGGCAAATATGAAAGGTAGGCATAATGGCCTTCAGAAAAAAATATTGGACATAAATTCAAGAGCACTTTATGTACCCTGCACCGCGCATACATTAAATTTAGTGGTAAATAATGCTGCAGATGTGTCAATTCAAACAGTGGATTTCTTCGGAATTATACAAGAGTTGTACACCTTTTTTTCCTGTAGCCCAAAACGATGGAAAGTGATGAAAGATAAAGTTAGCGGCTTAACACTTAAACCATTAGCAGATACACGTTGGGAAAGTCGAATTGAGGCAATAAAGCCTTTACGATTTAATTTACCTGAAATTCTTAGTGGATTACAGAAAATTTTTGATAGTAATGGGAATGGAGAAGTGTCTTTTGATTTAAAGACCAAGCATATGGCATTGTCTCTCAAGAATAAAATGGAAAGTTTCAAATTTATATGTGCAATAGTTTTGTGGTATGATATTCTTTCAAATGTCAATATTGTAAGTAAAATGCTTCAAAATACTAAAATAAGCTTAGTGGATTCAACTGAAAAACTGAAATCGCTGGAAAAGATTCTTATCAATTTTAGAACCGATGATCATTTTCATAAATTGTGCAATTCTGCTTCTTTGGTCGCCGAAAGCATACAGCTAGATCCAGATTTTCTACCGGAATCCCGTAGGAGAAGGCGGAATCAGTTTGACTACCAACGCGGAGAAGAAACCTTGCTATCATCAAAAGATAGTTTTAGAATAAATTTTTTCTTGGCTGTACTTGATAGGACAATACAAGCGATTCGTGAAACACATGTTAATTTTAACATTTAAATATATTTTATTTTTGTGATAATAAATAAGTAAAAAACTTTAATAATCTTTCCGTTTAAAGACTGGATGACAGTGACTGAATGAATGGGGAGAGGGGGGTGTATAATAAAATCTTGCACAGGGGTGCTGAAATACAAAGAGCCGGCCCTGGATGAATATCTAAGGTAAGTTAAATTTGTTTGCATTTTCGTAGTTACCATAGATCGCTGGTTAAAACCCGGTACAAGCAAACGTAAGCGTGTTTAAAGGAAGTTATGAATATTCCAGGATTTGCGGAAAAGGAAATAAAATTTAAAATAAAAAATATTAGATCAACATATTCTCAAGAACAAAAAAAAAATAAGGATTCCATGAAGTCTGGATAATAATCTGCCGATGATGTTTATGGTCTATCAATAAAATGGTTTCAAATACTAGATAATGTATTAAGTAATTTGGTAACTATTCAGGTTTTATCATGTGTTATAACAAAAATAAGTACATGTTTATTTTTATAAGAAAGCATGCTCTCTCTAATGTATCATTCTCAACTGCCAAGACACTGGCCCTTCTACTATGAAATAATCAGCGTATTTTTCCCTAAGTTCCTGAGCTCGGCGTGTTGAGTGGTTCATTAACGCTCTAGGCGGTGGAAGTAAACCAAGTGGCTGTGGCAAATTTCTCCAATTACCTTCCATTATTGTCCCTCTTACTTGATCTTCCAGGTCTACAGAATGGCCGAAACTTGATTCAACGAGTCTTGAAGTCCTGAGTCAGCTATGTAAACCTACTGACCATTATACCAAAAGCGCTTTCCACAATCTTCCTAGCACGCGATAATCGATAATTTAATACCTTTTGCTTAACCCCTTCACGCCCAGTGACGTGACAATTGTCGACAACGTAGAACGGCCGCTTTGTGTTATTTGCCATGAAAAGTTATCAAATGAATCAATGAAGCCAGCAAATCTTCGTCGTCATCTACAAACAAAACATGAACAGTATGTCACTAAAGATATCGATTTTTATCAAAACAAACTTAGAGATTTAAAAGCAAGTCAAAAGTTGATCGAGAAAACAGCATTTGGGAGCAATAATGAAAAAGCTGTTATTGCTTCATATCAAGTGGCACTACTGATTGCGAAATCAGGAAAACCTCATACTATTGGGGAAAACTTGATTCTTCCAGCGGTGAAAACAATTGTTACGACAATGTTGGGTGATAACGCAGCAAAAGACTTCAATCTGATTGCAGTGTCGAATGACACAGTGAAAAAAAAATTAATAATAGATATGGCAGAAAATGCTAAAACTCAATTAATTTCGAAAATAAAAAACAGTCAATTTTATTCATTGCAACTTGATGAAAGTAAAGACGTTGCCGACAACGAAAATTTATTGGTTTTTATTCGATATGACTGTGAGGACAACATATGTGAAGATTTTTTATTTTGCCAACCACTACAAACACATAGTACAGGAGGAGAGATATTCAAATGTGTAAATAATTTCATAGAAACAAATAATATTGAATGGACAAAATGCATAGGAATATGTACGGATGGGTCTCGTGCTATGAGCGGCACTGTAAGAGAACTTCAAGGTTTAGTGAAAGATGTTGCGCCTAATGCTGCTTGGACGCATTGCTGTATACATCGTGCGGCACTAGCTGCAAAAGGGATGAAGTTGTTAATTTTATTAAAGGTCGTCTATTGAATTCGCGAATTTTTAAAGTTATTTGCGAAGAAATGGGAAGTCAACATAAACAGCTACTTCTGCATTCCGATGTTCGCTGGCTTTCTCGAGGAAAAGTATTAAATCGAGTATTTGAACTTCGGGAGGAGATATACTTATTTCTCTGAAAAGTCATCCAAATTTTCATCTCAAGGACCGGTTTAATGATTTTCACTGGTTAGCAAAGGTGGCTTACCTTGTTGACATATTTCAATATCTGAACGATATAAATTTAAAATTACAAGGTCCAACTATAAATATATTTAAAGTGCAAGATAACATCGAAGCTTCCATTAAAAAGTTTGGTTTATGGACAACTAGAATTAAAAATTATAACATGGAAAATTTTTCAATACTAAACGATTTTCTGGGAAGTTCAGAACAAAAATTGTCTGAATGTATTATATTAGAATTTATTCAACATCTCGAAAGCCTTCGAGTATCATTAAGGAGCTATTTTCCAGAACCTAAATCTGAAAATGAATGGATTAGGAATCCTTTTCAATGTAATGATATATCTATGTTGCATAATTTGTCGACATATGAACAGGACCAACTTGCAGAACTTACTTGTGATGGATCTCTAAAGCAAGTTTTCCAAACCAAAACACTTGCAGAATTTTGGACATCAGTAAGAAAATTATATCCACTAATAGGAGAAAAGGCAACAAAGTTTCTGTTACCCTTTTCGAGCACATATTTGTGTGAAAGAACTTTTCCACATTAAGTTATTTAAAAAATAAATACAGGAATCGTTTAGATGTGGAACCAGACCTGCGATTGAACGTTTCCTTAACCTCACCGGATTTTAAACAATTGGTTTCAGAAAAACAACTCCATCCCTCACATACAAAATACTCTGTTATTAAATATTTTTTTGTTGATAATAATTAGAATGTATTTTTTTTGTATTACTTTACAAAGTTCATGAAATAAGAATGACTTTTTTTCATTATTCCTACATATGTATTTTTTATTTAGTTTTAATAGGGAAGTTTGTTGAAATGTTTTATTTTCATTTATTTAACATTAAAATAGAGAAGGGGGTCCGCAGAAAAAGTTTGCTTTTTAAGGGGTACTTAAACAAAGAGAGTTAAAGAACCGCTGCTTTACGTAATGAAACCAGTGCGGTAATGAACTGCATTACGTATCTCAAATCACCTCAAATGAGTGTGGTAATGATAACTGCTCTAAAACTGCGATTCCTACTAACCTTTTCAAAAAACCATCATCATTTCTATAACATCTTTGAAAGAACTGTACAAAACATTGCAACAAAGTTAAACAGGACGCTTTGGAAATTTTTTTCTTTCAAATAAGGAGCAAATGCGGAACTGATGATCATTCAACACCTACCTACTTTTGGCAAAAATCCAGGTGTTTTAGAATACCAACACAATGCACTTTTGTCAAGAACAATGTACTATCGTCAATAATGAAAGTGGGCATAGAGGTTATAGAAACCTCCGCTTCTGAAAACTCCTTATCATCGGATTCATCAAGTAAAATATGATAGTTTTGATGATATAGAAAAACAACAAGAAATCACCAACGATTCTTTAGAATATATTGCTGGCTATTTAGCAAAAAAATTCAAAGATCGTTACAACGATTTAGGTGATTACACTTACAAAATTAAAGCTGACCATAGTTATTGTTTACCAACATGGACACAACATCTATCTTACGGAGGATTAATCAACCCATCCGAAGAATAATTGAGAAATATTAAACTTTTAAACAAATATTTCGCATATTCTCACAATACCGCACTAAATCAAATAAAAACCACACCAAGGGTTGTGAAACAGCTTTCGTTAATAATTAAGAAAAAACATTTAAATATCCCCATAGATTTAATTCTGGCCTTTATTAAATTACGATCAATTATTCGTTTAATCTATAAAAATGAAAAAATCATAAATTAATAAAGCCTAAAATTAGCAAATAATTAGTTCCGAAATCTTCGTCACACAATTTAATTTAAATAAATTTAAATTTATTATTTCTTAGTCGAATTTATACTCATTACCATTAACCGAAAATTAAAAATCACAATGTAATTGGGTCTACTTTGTCATCCACGAATATTATATGATAGTTGTTTCATTTAACGTAGAAATTTTCACTGATTACAATAAACTTTACCGCCATTTTTTTTATCAATCGGTTGACAAGATTTAAATCCTCAGTGGTAGACAATTAGCAAGTACAAATGTACCGAACGTAGCTATGAGGTCTATAGATGACGTCAAGTACGCATTCAGCCTATACGAGGAACCACAAACAGAAATGCATCAACGATCACTTCTTGGGCATCAATCCACGAAACAACAGATGCAACAGGAGGATATGTGGTAAATGTCATTATTGGTATTTTGAATCATGATGAGTTGATCGTTAAACAACAATTTTTGTTTCGAGCTTGATAAAGCGAATCATCAGCGCAGCGTCGACCGGCTTATTGCCAATGTGTAAAAAGTATTTTTAAAAGCGCTGTCAAGAGCAGAAATTTTTAACGAAATAGCGCGTTGTCCCGCTCTTTCTCCACAACCGGTAACTATTCGCTTGGGAACATAGATTGAAGCGGTTAGTGCTATGACGAAGAGGACGAGGATTTCCTCTCCTGTTCTACGTATGTTTCCCCAATTTATTCTCCCCAATTTTTACCATCATAATTTTTCGCAAACCATTATGATTTTTTCAATTTTGTACATTCCTTCTCCCCGCCATTTACACTTTTCCTCTGGGGCATGCGCATCCTTGTCACCTGACAACCTAATGTCGTCGCAGTATACTACTGTTCTGTGCGTAGCATGCCCTGTTCACTCTTATTTAATATTACGTACTCTTTTTAGTTAGATAAGGTGCCAGTCCCCTGTGGCGATTTTTTTGTTGAAAAAGTGAATAGAACGACATTCAATTTCATAAATTCGTAATTACTTATGCAAGGGAAAAGAAGTAAAGGACGGCGCTACACACTAGAGGATAAAATGTTTGCTTTGTCGCTGTTAAAACAAAGCCCAAAAGGCTATCGCCTCCTACAAAAAACTTTCGCGTTGCCATCTCGAAAAACACTTATGGCGTTACTAAATAATGTTCCATTCAGTGTAGGCATTAATGAACCCATTTTAAAAGCACTTGAGGTATCAGTGGCTAAGATGGAACAGCATGATAGATATTGCTGTTTAATGTTTGATGAGATGTCTATAGAACCATCGTTGTCATATAATAAAAAAAACAGATTGCATTGAAGGGTTTGAGGATTACGGTGATGGTAGAAATAA